CATAGCATGTCAGCTGATGCACATGCACACAAATATAAAACAGGTGTCATAAAACACTGTTTTCCTTCTGTAGGAAGCACTCTGACAGTTCTCACTCTTACCACATTTTCTTGAAATGCTAGCCATGACTCTGAATGACCTCATCGTCCACGAGGGGACTGCGACTCACGTTTGGAAAGGACAGTTGCAGGCATATGGGGGACTGAACTTGGACTCCAAGTGAGAGGGGAATCAGGGCTGGGTGTGCAATGTGGGGCGCCCTCAGCACCGAACTGATTAAGTCACAAGAACTAATGATTTGCTGTCGCAGATTCTGCGGTCTAGAAATTTGTGACCAACGCCCTGTCAGAAGATTAATTATTCTGCCACCATCAACCTCAATCCTATATCCCAGAGGGCTCTAGGGGAAGAGAGTATCTAACACACTTGGAAAGAGAAAGACCACACACATTTTAGAGTTCAAAGTAGGTCTCACTGCCAAGCCACAGAGCACACAGAGCTAGAAATGATGTGCCTTTATGAAGCATCATAAAGGATAAAGGGTTTTCCTTGGAGAAAGGTTGAAGATTATTTAGGTCTCCAACTTTGAGTTTCAAGGCCACAGTACTTAGAACTGGGGCAAGGAAGACAGAACAATTATTCCTTCCAAAGCTACAGTCCTAAATAGAAGTGTGGAAAAGAGGCCAACGGCCCTAGGCTAACATCTGCTGTTGGGTCACAGCCTGAACAAGCCAGGCCCAAACTCAGTAATGCTCAGCTCTGAGGAATGAAGGAGCTCCAGGGATTATTAGAGGCCCCCTGAAAAACAGCATATTGAGGAGCTGATTAAAGAAGGAATGCTGCTGCTGTTCCAACTCATCAGATATTTCTCTCCTCAAATTTAAGCTGCTTTAACCCGTGAATGGAGCAGATGGTTAAGCACTGGACTACTAGCTGAAACATTGGTAGTTTAAGTCCACCCAGAAACACCTCAGAAGACAGATCTGGCAATTTCTAAATGTCTCAACCCTAAAAACCCTATGAAGCAACGTTCAACTCTTGCACAAACGGAACCACCTTAAATTGTCAGAATCTTCTTGACAGCAACAGCAACTCATATCGTAGCAGTCTTTCCAGAGTGCATCTTGGCACAGTTCCTAGTCAAACGTACTTTAAATAGACAAAAATAAGCCCATCACTTTTGGGCTTTAGAAATTATTTTTTTTTAAGTTGCAATGTACTATTTGGTTGAACAAGTGTCATTGTCAGACCTTTTTTCCTATTCAGGAAAGGAACAAATGGGGAGGTAGGACTACAGGATAGTCATTCAGGAGGGAAGGACTGAAGGAGAAATTAAGATTTTTTTTCCCCACGTTGGGGCTGAAGCTCCATGTTTACAAGACTGTTGATGCCAGATGCGTGTCTGGGCAGCTTTTAACACCCAGCTCAAAGCAGCAGACCTTCATGGCAAAGGTCCCACGGAGTCAGATTCAGTCCTCTCTCCACAAGATATCAAAACATCAAAGAGGAGTAGGCTTAAAAATGACAAAACGCAGGCAACAGGTAGGAGCCAGCTTACTCAGGCGGCCCTTTCGCAGACCCTGGGCTTGCTTTCATTCTCCATCTAATTGGAAAGATTACTAAGATATAAACTAAGTTTTTGCCCAACTACTTTCTCCTCCCCTTTCCAGTTTTCCAGGTGACATTTAGTCAATCCCAGCTCATGGTGACCCCAAGTGCTACAGAGTATAACTAACTGCTCCACATGAGTTTGTTGGCTGCAATATTTACAGAAAGGATCCCCAGTCGTGCAATGGTTAAGTGCAAAGCTGCTAGTATAAATGTTGGGGGTTTGAATCTACCCACTGCTATCAAGTTAATAACAGCTCATAGCACCCATAGATCATAATGGAAAGAAACTGCCCTTAAAGTTGACTCCCATGGGGCTGCTGGTAGATTTACACTGGTGAGACATGAGCCTTTTGGTTGGCAGCATGGAATAGGACACCAGCGCTCCTTTCCGTAGAGTCCAGCCCAGTAACCCCATGGGGCAATTCTTGTCTATCACATTAGGTCACCATCCGTAAAAATGGACAGTACTTGGTAACTATCTTAATAGAAGCAGATAACCAGACCTTTTTTCATAGGATGGAAAGGTTTGAACTGTCAACCTTTAAGTTAATGTTGTTGTTATGTACTGTCAAATCTGAATCAAGTCATAGCTGGCCCTCCAACGGGCTTTTAGGGGCTATAAATCACATGGGACAAGACGACCCATTTTTCTCTTGTGGAGCAGCTGGTGAATTAGAACTGCTTGCATTTGTATTGGCAGTACAACTCTTCACCTATTAGACTACCAGAGCTCCTAAAAATAAGTTATTATTAATAAGTTAATAAATTGAGTGCTCCCTAATAATAATAGTTGAGCACAAACCATTTGCATCCCCACCTCATCCTCCGCCTGGGACTTGCTTTGCTTTTCACAGCTCCTCTTCATTCCTTGATGCAAACCCTTGCTCCATTCAGCTGGTGTGTAATAGAACTCTGAGAACTACAGGCAGCTTCTGTCCAAGAAACTTTTTTAGAACGCCCTCCGAAGGACGCATCAGTATCTCCAGCCTTAATCTCCGCTCATCTCACTAAGCCTGTGAGGCTTCCCTTTCCTGTATGACAGCACACTCACCCTGGTCTTCATCCAGACTTGTAAGCCAGCTTGGCATCGCAGTCTGCCCCACCCTGTTAATATTCTGAGAACAAGCACAGTCTAGATATACCAATCCCAAGCCAGAGAAAGATGTTAGAAAACAAGCAGAGGTCTGGAATGGAAGGTCTTTCACATTCCAAAGCCCAGGTGTGAATTAGTTGAGAAGAAGAGGAAGAAAGAATTAGAAAAAGTTTGCACTCTTTTAACTGAAGGAGAAAGGGAAGCTAAAAAGGAAACAGGGTCAAGAACGAGGGGGGATTATATTTCCAGTTTCTCGAGTCCAGAAAAGATTTGTGTAAATTTAGCTATGCTCCCAATCTAGTCCTGTAGTCAGCTGCATTCTCAACAAAAGGGGAGAGGGGAAACTATATATATATATATATATATTGAGTGATGCTCAGAGATTGCCAAAACCCAAACCCAGCTGCAGTCAGCATTTCTAGAGTTCTTTTCATTTCTGCAAGGGACATGAAGTTACTCATCTATCTACAGTGCTGACTAATACATTTCTACACACAGTACCTCTGCCTCTTACCAACTCTTTTCCAAATGTTGGACACATACTGGTCAAACTTAGGGATCCCGCAGCTAGAGGCTACGTCCTACAATGAGGACTGACCATGGAGCTGGGCTGCCGGAGAGAGGACATTCTAACTTGTCTGAATCCCTCACACTGTATTCATACCATAGTGTTTGGGTGCTTGACCATCTCCGGATGTGGATTAACAGCAGCCATTCAAGAAGCCCTATTGTTTAATTCCTCCCCACCTCTACCCCCTAAAATGAAATGGAAATCAGGTCAGGAGCTCAAAGAGACACATTAACATAATTTATTAAATTCACCATACAAAGAATATGTCACAGAAAAAATACATTTCTTAGAACCGGGAAGGCCCATGGAGATCATTTGTTTCAACCGCCTGAAGCGCCAGCACTCCGTTGTAGACGTGGCGAGAACATGGGCCCAGGCTCAAGCTATAGAAAGGCAGGCTTAAGGCTTCTGGATTTCATCCAAGTAGAGCCTAAAGACTTAATCCATGTTTATTTTTAATTTTCCATGTTTTATATTACCACACTCTGATGCTTATCCCTAGAAGACTATGGGAAGAGCACTAAAGAAAACCCAATGAGCTTGTGGGTCATTCAAAGAAAACAAACAGGTCAATTAGGGAAAAGAAGGGTTAAGGGAGGAATTAAATTCTTCTCCCAAGAGTCCGGGTTGTCTTCTTGCCCCTAGTTGACACACACAAACACACACGCACACCCCCAGCACCTCAGAGAAGTGATCGTTGCCTTCCAGAGGTACAGGTCAGGACCAGTGTAGGATGAGAAAAGCAGGTCGAATAAGGGAGATATAAAACAGTATCATTCTGAAGTCAACAACTTCCATGGGAACCCTCTTTTTTTCCAGTTTTCAGCAAATCCTAACACCACAAGAACTTTGGTATAAATCAAGTTGTGAGACATAAGCAAAAACACCAATAACTTAGAAAAATAAATACAATTAGAGTTTTACTGGGACAATGTAACCCAGTCAAAACACTGTTTATAGGATCTGGGTAGAGGAGTGTATTGTGGGGTATATCTTGAACTGCATTTTAGCAGGAAACCCAAGAGATTATAGGAGTCTTCATGGCTGAGAGAATTCACACATAACCACCCCCGGCTCTAGGAAGTCTTTAAGATCAAAGCTACTCCCTGGAATGTGTACTCCCATCTCTCTAGAAAAACAAGGCCATCAAAGTTTAGGCTCTGACCAGGCCATGACAGGTGGCCCCACTGACTAGCTGCAGGAGGCTCTGGTCAGTCAAGATTGAGGGTGGAGCAAGTAAAAAAAACAAACAGCTTGTTGCTAGGAACTATGTTTCCACAAGGAACTTCATTCCCCCAGGGCGCTCTTCAATTGCTGCAGGCATCTGTGTTTCCAGCTTTTAGGGGTGAGGCAAATCTTGTCACCTCTCCTAACCCAAAGAAGGCCTGGCTTGGGAGGGGGGGACAGCTGGACTCCAGTCTACCACAGAAGGGAGGCTCTGCTAAGAGAGAAAAACAGTAACTATGGTAATAAGACATAGTCTTGGTTTCTGCTGGAAAGCAAATGGTTTCCAGAAGGTTGCAGTGGCCTGAGGAGGCGCTCATCCTCTGTCTGCTCATCCAGAGGAAAAGAGTTTGAAATGGAAGTCATAAACATGAAGCCCTGAGTGCAGACAGGAACAGTCGGGAAGTCAAAAGTCAGTGCTAACAGCCTATGGGGTGGTGAGCTTCTCCAAAGGCAAGAGGCGGCAGCAACAGCAACATCCTTCTCCTGTCTCCATCCAGTTCATGTTTCCACCACTCGGATGAGAGGCATGGGCTTAGGGCTGGGGGGCTTGGATATCCTAATGCTGAAAAGAAAGTTATAAACACTGAGTGCTGTGTTGTTGCCTCCCTTTCACAGAGCCTCCCGCTTCTATCTGCCCCTGGAATCCCACTTCAAAGTTGGCTTCTAACTGCTTTAAAATGATAACTATTGGTGACACATGAGAAAAGATTGTGGCGGGCTATTTTTGTCTAGTGGCAGGGTAAGAAAAATAGGGAGGCCAGTTAAACAGCTAAGGAATACAGCTATCCTATTAAAGGCAAAAAGATCTTCTCCCAAGAACTACGTAATTTTGCCCAAATGATTTCCATATGTGAGTTCAGGGGATGTACATACACACTTCATGGACCTCCTATCAGGGGCCATTGTCTCAACTCTATTCTAAATAGGGTAGAAAATGGTTCTGGTGGAGAGTGGGTCAGGTGAAGGACTGTGAGCGTAAAGCTGGATTAAAGAGCTTCGTTCTTGCCTTAGAGCTCCAAGTTTATCCCCTCCCACGTGGCCCCTACTCCATGTACTCACCTGCCCTGGTTCTCTGTCTTGGCCCTGGTCTGGGTGCTGAAGTTACCATGACTGATTTGTTTTTCTATCAGGTGTTCCATCCGGTCGTGCATCTCTAAATTCTGTGATATGAGATACGGGGTTAGGATCAGCCTTTGGTTGATTTCCACATGTCACAGTGAATTGGTTCATTGTTATAGTCTCCATCTTCCGGTTTGCTGCTGCCACACCCTCTTTACCACACAGACCACCAGCAGGTGACCTCCCTCCCCGTCTGTTACTCCCAATGACTCTCTTCTTTCAATCTCTGCTCCAGCCTTTGCCCTCAAGAATACATTCTACCAATAACTGGACAACACTGAGAATTTCCCATATATCTTATATGTAAATAATTATTATGGATGCATATATCTTGCATGCATATAATTTCCTATTCTAGATATAATTTTCCTATTCTAGACATAATTTCTTATTGTTTGCTGTTGTGTGTGCTGTCGAGTTGGAACCGACTCATAGCTGACCCAACAGTAGGTTTAAAGATAGTTAATACAGCACTTGAGGAGACTACCCATCCTTCCCCCAAGGAGCAGTTGGTGGATTCAAACTGCATGCTTTTGGGATTACAACCCACCTTCTTACCACTAGGCCACCAGAGCTCTCTAATTTCCGATAGTTCAATTATTCACTCACTCTTGTGTATGTATTATTCATTAAAGTATTCTTAGGTCTTTGGAAAAAAAATTTTTTAGGTTTACATAATTTATTTTTTTTAATTAATTTTAATGAACATTTACAGATACTTTGTATTTCCATTCATTCCTTGTTGCATTTTTCTCCCTGCCCACCCCTCCCCTCCAAGTTCACTCTTCTCTTTGAAAAGTAAAAGAAAAACTCTTGACTAGCTTTTATGTTTGTCGTCTGTACAGTAAGTTCCACCCAGGGCCCTTCAGTGTCCCATGATCCTCTGCAAGTACAGAAACCCTATGCTTTCTAAAAACTATTTTTTTAAAAAAACTCCTTTCCCCCTTTCAAGGCTTCACCACATATCCTAGCAATGAAAATATTTCTTTTTTTTAAATTTTTTTTATTTTTTGTGTGAGTGTACCGTCAAATCAGATCTGACTGGTACAGGAGGAGATTGTCCCTCCTTTTCCCGGCAGAGCATCTGGTGGATTCGAACCGCGAGCCTCTGGGATTGTAGTTGCAGCTTCTTGCCACTAGGCCACCAGAGCTCCCCTTGAAAATATTTCTGATTAGAATGTCACAGATTCCTAGTTCCCTTGCCAGCTGAATGGTGGACATAGGTCTTTGAAAATTTTTAACATTTCCTAAGAAATATATTCCTAATCTATTTTAGTAAGAAAAGATATTATATTAAGTCATATTCTTAGGATATATATTTAAGCATAATAAAATATATTTTTAATATACTTTCATATTCTTCCTAAGTGTCCAATCTCTTATTTTATGTCCAACTCTAGGTTGCAAATTCCCTGAGGTACACAACCTAGCTCCCATTTCTTTGTATGTCTCCCACTGCATGGGGTCATCATACAGCGGCAGCAAGGCAAGCAACGGAACAAGCAGTTGATGGACAGGAAGGGCTCTGTAGCAGAGTGGAAATTAAACTAGCAAGATAATTCATTAATTAATCAAGTTAGTCATTAGCATCTTCATCTCAGCCACGAGAAGACTCCACCTATAGAAGAAGGCTCGCTTTTTTTAAGGTCCAACTCTAGGGTGAGCTACTATGCAAATCCATACAGTCAGACTTAAGGGCTCATCTCCATGTTGCCATGGCACAGGGCTTGAAGCATGATGATACACCCACCCCTTAAGGACAGAAACAGGTCTCATGGTCAGCAGCTCCCGCAAGGTGTCCAGAAAATGTCTACTTGGCTGAAATGAAGATCAATGAGCCCTCCATATATACAGCTAAATAAAACCAAGACCTCCTCAATAATCTACTATGTCCAGTCTTCCAAGAGTTCTGCTGTCCTGCAGGGGTTGCCTGGTGCACATACCTCTGCCTCCAGATAGGCCACTTTCTCCTTGAGCTCCTGAATGGCTGTGTCCTTTGACTGGATCACTGCTTTTGAATTCTGCAGCTGCAAAGATGTACGAGACATGGCAACTCATTCTGAAATGATTCATCACACACTCACTGAACTTTGCCCCAAGATCTGTCTACAGAAACCAGAAAAGATGAAAACTCTCCTATGGTTTGCTTAATTTTTCTAGAAAAGCCTCATTTCAGCCAATATTAAACTCTTAAATATCCCAGGACAAGAAGGGGGTATGTCACCCTGCTAACCCAAAATAAGCTTCCAAAATAATTCCATTTGATGTGAGGCTTATTCATTTTGGGGTTATTTACAAATAATTGATTCATTCAAGAAATATTTACTTATTATGTGAAAATTTACTATATGAAACACCTCATTCTAGAGAATGGGAAGTAATAGTGAAGAAAAGCTAGAAACATCAGCCTTCAGGGACCTGACATGCAGTAAATATACCCTGCCAGGTGGCACAGTTAATGCACTCCACAGCTAACCAAAAGATTGGCAGTTCAGGCCCACCCAGAGGTGACTTAGAAGAAAGGCCTGGAAATCCACTTGGAAAAGCTATGGAAACATTATGACATGAGCTGGAGTGGTTTTTATTCAGTAGCAACTGGCCTTATTTTTCTGTTATTTTAAAGTTCTCGAAACAATTCTGCAGATTGGCATATCCTGGGTATACAGGTGGCAGAGGACAGAAAATTGGCCAGGAGGCTGATGGTTGCTAATCTGTCCGCAGACAACTGAGTTTGCTGTGACTCAGACACTCATTTACCAGCACCCTTCACAGAATGTGTGAGAGGCTAACTTCTTCCTACTTTTCCTATTGGAAAGCAGAAGCCAGTGGCCAATAAAAAGTCGGCCATTGGACAAAGATAGGTGAAAAGCAAATCTCAATAACGCAAACTAATAGCATAAATGTTTTATGAAAAACACATGAGTTTAAAACCACGCTCCCTAGGAAAATAAACGGAAGCTTGGATTTGACAGGAAGAGAGAGCTGGCCTCACTGTAGTGACCTCCAGTGGCCGTCTGACCCTCTTACCTGCTCTATCATTTGCCGGACTTTGCGCTGCTGGCTCTTAAGCATGTCATCCAGTTGGTGAATTTTCTCTCGTAACCCAGCCACCTCCTTTTCCAGGTTAGCAGCCCTGAGGATAAAGACCAGAAGTCTGAAGCAAGGGGGAAAGTGCCTTGCCTACCCAATCACATCAAGAGCCTCGGAGGCAGAAGGTTCCCAGCAGGTGTGCCTCCCTTTATCTAACTTCTGATGTTGTGCTGTTAGGTGCCATCGAGTTGAATATAACTCATAGTGACTCTATAAACAATAGATCTGAACCCTGTCTTATCTTGTGCCGTAGGACACACTTGAACCTTTGACACATTTGAGCTCACTGCTTCAGTCACTGTGTCAGTCCACCTGCTTGAGGATCTTCCCCTTCTTCACTGTTCCCTCACCTTTCCAAGCATGATGTCCCACCCCAAGGAATAGTCTCTCCGAGCAACATGTCCAAAGTATGTGAGACGAAGCTTCATCAAGGTTCACCATAAAGAATAGCTGGTGGGATGCCTCTGAACATCACACCGGAAGCATCGTCAAGGCCATGGAGGCCAAATGAGGAAACTGAAGCTTAGACAGGTAAGAAAGGGAAAGTCAGACTTGACACAAAAATAGATGTTCCAAGGATGTAGTTTTTATATTACTAAAGGGAAGAATGTTCTCAGGATTAAAAACTATCAGAAGGTAGACTGCCTCATATGTAATGAGCTCCCTATTGCTAGAAGATTTACACAAAAGCTGAGATCATCATATCCAGCTCCATTAAACTGTTGGCAGGGATTTTTATACCAGGAAGGAGATAGAACTTGTGGATCTTTAAAGGATCTCCAGAAACCTCTTGTTTTTGTCTCCTGATTCCCACACCATTATTCTTTCTTCTGCATCTTCTGAATTGTGATGTTGGCCAAAAACATTATTCTTTTTTAATAACAGATAGTACCCACTCAATGACCAGAGCAGTGGGGGCTACCCAACCATCTCCAGCTGCAGGCTGAGCACTCCAGTCTTCAGTGGAGAACTGCTGAACAGCCACAGGAGGCACCTACACATCAGTCTGTCACCTAGGGCTGAGCAGAGGTGAATTCAGGAGCAAGGTCAGTCAACTCATCCTGAAATTCTCCCCTAGTCACAGCTTTTTCAGCAGTGGTCTGCTCTTCCTTTTTAATCTCTCTGGATCTCTGTAGAAGCAGGGAGCAGGCAGGACCTCCCATGGATGGTTCCAAGAGACAGTACTATCCATATCCTGCACAGAACCTCCCGGGCTAGCATCCACATCAGACCCAAGGAGTTAGCTTCCTTGTTGTTGCATGGGATAGCAATGCCCACAAAGCACAAGGGAGATTCTATGTTACACAAAGCAACGGAGGGCAAGTTAACCTAAGATGCTGCTATCAGAGGCTTTTGGTCAGCCCAGGGACCAGAAGATAAGACTCCTGGAAGGCTGACTGGATCTTGTTAGGAAGGTTCCCAGAGTGAAGTGTCTGACAATTGGAGTGGCTCTAGTGGCAGCAGCAGACACCAGCACAACCTTCAGGCCATTATTCCTCAAGGCAGTGACACTGCCATCAGCTGTGTTTTCAATGTCAGCAGTGGCCCACAGTGCTGACATGAGTTTCCCCAGGTGCTCTCACGTTTATGATGTAGCTGCCATCACTTTTCCTCTTGTAGTACACTATTCCATTTGGAAGTCAAGCTTGGTGCGAGTTCCTTCTGCAGAGTGTGAGGGCTCTTCCTTTATCGGCAGGACATCAAGGGCTTCAAGATACTGGGAAAGTTTCTCCTTTAATCTACAACCAAAACCAGGACCCTTCTCTGCATAGAGCAGTCAGCAGCAAAGAATATTGAAACTACCACAGACTGCCAAAATAGCAAACAAAATCTGTCTTGGAAGAAGACTGTTAATTCTTATTTACTGTTGGTTTGAGTGTAAAATGGTGCAACCACTATGGAAGGTAGTATGGCGCTTTCTCAAAAAGTTGGAAATAGAAATACCATTTGACCCAGCAATTCCACTGCTGGAAATATATCCTAAAGAAACCAGAACTGCCAATCAAATATATATATTATGATAAATATGTACTACGATAAATATATACAGTATAATAAAGATATATTTTATGATAAATATAGAT